AATTCTAGCGCATACCGGCATACGGTGCACAGGTGATACTAGAACACTTTTATGCACTAGGGGCACCCTCCACTCGAAGCAATATAAATTTATATATGTCCCGTGTGCTATCCTTCTTATTATGATACACTCAAAAATTATTGCCAGTGGTAGAACACCAATAACGATCACATCTGTTAATCACCTATTTACCGAGACGAATGTCGGTGAGCGTTCTCAGTCAACCATCTCTATTAATCAACTATTTATAAAGACAATCACTTTAGTATGCCCGCCTTCTATGTAAAAAGTTAATAGAGACGTGCATCTTCCTGAAAGTGCAATAGCATCTAAAAGCAAGGGAATATAGGAAGTGAATATGGTAAAGGATACCAAGTCTTGTTTCTCGCTGATTTTAGATGTCTTTTCATTAAAAAATTCTACAAAGAAATTTGGATGGATGTTCCACCCATACAATGTGCCAATCTTATCGTCACTGGCGAGTGGTATCGTAGCACCCGTCATGAAAATACCAGCAATCCATCTAGTCGACATTTTTTTTCTTTTCCTACTCGCACTTTAGTAGTCCTAATATTTCAGTACTACAGCCTTAGCGATGTTTTGTCTTAATGAAAAATCTGCTATTTCTAGAGAGGTACCTAAAAACACGTGTCTCTGTTAATTTTGAGGGCGTCCCTTGAAATCTTTTTAAGAGTGACCGTTGAATATACAACTAGGACGTAACGCGCGCTTCGCTGTGCGCGCAGCGACGATTAGCATAGTCATCGTATGTGTAGTTGTGTACCTGTAGGCTAAATGTCTGTTGGGCCGCACGTATATTAAGCTCGCTCTCTGTAGGCTAAATGTCTGTTGGGACGCACGTATATTGTTAAGCTCGCTCTCTGTTGTGTGATTGCTACATTTTATGGGTCTTGAGGCGTGAGCCATGAGGCATGAAATGGTCCGTTGCTTGTTCAACTTTAGTGTACTGTGGTCGTCCAAAACAAACTTTAGTCCACTGTGCGTGCATTTTTGTGGCTAAAATATTGTTCGCTAAAGATGAGTGCAATACAGATAAGGAAACGTAAAGATGTAGTACCTGCTATTATAGATACATGTGCATATGCAGATAGGTCCATAGCTGTACATAAAGGTTTCGTAAATACAACATGTCTTAAACTGCTGGGGCAGTCATAGCACTATCATACACAGGTTGACAGTTCGTATACATCATATACATATGAGCACGTTTTTTTACCGCAGCGATAACAAAGGTGGTCTTTAAGGGTGTAATGGGCACACCTCCTTGTGTGAGATGAACCTGAGTGCTGTAGGTCATCGCTGCTGACATTGATTGGTCACCCGAGGCTGCAGTCTTGTGGTACTGCTTTCCGCTAGGGCATACACATATGGCTAGGTATCTACAGGCAAACAAAGTTGGAGCCATAAATTAAGATTATAAATAGACGTCCAGGAACCTAGCAAAGTAAGTAGTTACTGAGCATTTTGCTGGAAAACTGAACATGTGCAAAGTAACAGGCATGGGACAATAGAGAGCAAATCTATAATGGTTCCTATAGGCACATTGAGATTCTGTGCCTTTTTTCCCCTTATCTAAAAAAAATTGGCACTGAATCACAATGGTAATCAGAATTAAGATTAGGAGGCCATAAATCGTTTTCGTATGCCTAGTCCAAAGGAAAAAAAGGGAACATAGTGTGTCTCATCAATTCTGTTCATATAGCACAGATGACCACTTCCAACATCTGTTCATATAGCAAAGATAGCCTACAAAAGGCAAGGACGCAAGCAAACTTAGCTGATCCTAGTAGTGTGCTACACTGTAGTCAAGCAGAACAACTTCAGAATTGGAAATGAAACTAAGAATTCGTTTGCTGGTAGTAGCACAGACTGTATAATATTAGGCAAGATAAAGATGATATCCCAACAATAGATCAAGGTATCCAATTTGTGTAGCACCAAATCATGGGGAAATCATATGGCAGTCTTGATCTCATTGATTTTTGTACAGTTAGTGAATCGTAACATATATGGATCAAGGGATGATGAACATGATGGTTTGCCGTCAAAAAAAAAAACATGATGGTACATCATATGGTCACTGTGTACCCAGAAGTACTTAATGTAGACTTTGCTGCAGTGGGAAAGGAGAAAAGAAGGGATACCACTATTCGATGATGTTGAACTTGGCTGTGCCTATGTCTTCATGAAGCCAGGGGAAAAGGTTTAACTGAAATAGTAGCAATCACCAAATCAGTTCAGGAGTGATGGCACCACAGATACTCATTGGCGCAAAATAACCACGTGAAATTAGAAAAAAATGCAGGGCCACAGAATCAAATTATGAAAGGAATTTTGGAACATGTTTTATTCTAACAAATGAGATGCCATATTAAACTATTTGGCAACAAAACGGCGGGAATTTACTTTTCACGTTTAAAGCTGGAAAGGAATACTAATAAAGATGATATAGAGCTGAACCGTACTACATATACCAAAATGTGTGACGCAAGAGCACCTCAGAATTTTGCAGACAGTGTTGAGAGAGCGAGTCAATTAGATAGTTATAAGAATGTGCACAAGAGAAGTATTTATCATCCAGTAGAATTTAGAAAACAACACATAGGATACATATTGTAACAACGAAACACCAAACTCCATTGCTGTCATCCCATGACGATAGGTATAGGTAAGAGAATGGGACATAAATAAATATATGAACCGGAAACATATACACAGGCAGCCCTATCTGGCTTGCACAAAGATAACAAACAATCAAAAACAGGATCTCCATTTGGGGAAGACAGACCTATGATTTGGTTTCGACTTCGTTGTTGCTTGAATGAAAGACAGAGAGTACCCATATCTGAAGATTCCAAATCCGTCTGAATTTTAAAGAACATGTGTAAATTAGCAACGAATCCCTTCATATAAATTGAAGCAAAATAAATAAGAACTGTACATGCAGGCGTAAAGAAAGAAAGGGATGCTGGAAGGTAGAGGGTGCCGTTGGAGAGGGAAAGAGCAAGAGGGAGGTAATGGCCGACTGCATCTGACTGAGCATTGAGAAAGTCACACCTGGCGGAAGACGGAGAATCCAATGATTGCGAAGAACTGGCGCCCTATCCGTCCCTCGGCGTTGCGTCGTGGCTGAGAAGGAAGGGTCGCAGATCTGGGCCGTTGAGCGACGCGGCGCGCACGGAGACATCGCCGCCGTACAGCCCGTAGCCGTGTCGCCGACACACATCGCCCTGGTCACCCACGCCAAGGACTGAGGAAAGGGAGACGTCGAGCGTGTTGGCTGGGCTGGCGGCGCCGGTGCAGACTGTGACGGGCCCTCATGGTGGGAGGCAGCCCTGCCACCGCACGTCACTCCGCCGTCGCCGCTGCCCTGCTCGCCCTGGAGGCGCTGCGAACGAAAAGGCCGTGACGCAGGTCACGCGCGTCAGGATCCTATTTACAGGGGCCACGACGACGGCGAGGCAAGCGGATTGGCGTCGACGACGGGGAGCAGGTGGAAGCCGGCACGTCGGCGGCGGCGTGCGGGGGGCGGGTTCCGAGAGCGGAGGAGCCGAGGAGGTGAGGGGGGACCGGAGCGGGCGAGAAACTGGCTCAGACTGTCTCCAATAACGTTACCAGATGCAAAATGAGTCCAGGCGGGGCAAGGCAGAGGGAGCGGGGCAAGGCGGACTGTGCGTCCAGGCGGGCCCGTGGCGGGGAGCCGCCGGCGCGGAGAGGAGCGCGGCCGGCGCGACCGCGCCGAGGAGCCGCCGATGCTCCGAGCAGGCGGCCGTGCGGCCTAGATCCGGGTGGCGCGCTCGCGCTCCATGTTGAGGAGGCTGGGGCGCGCGTAGAGGGAGGAGGATGGGGCGCAACGGCGCCGGCCGGGGGGAGCGGCGGTCGGCTTGGGGCGGCGCGGAGGCAGAGGAGGAGGCGCGGAAGCGGAGGGGCGGGGAGGAGCGGCGCCTCGCCTGGGGGAGAGAAGAAGAGAAGAGAGGGATCGAGCGGAGAGAGAGAGGAGAGGGAGCAGGGGAGGATATTTTTTTTTCATCAGCTGTCGGAGAACAGATGTAATGGGTGCGGGACTCATTTTCTGTGCATGACTTAAATCTAGGAATGGGTATCTCATTTGGGTACGCACGGTTGGAGATAGCCTCAGGATGGGGGAGAATAGGTGGGGCAATGACGTGGGGGCTATTTCTTTACTGCAGACTGGACCGTCGATTTTTTTTTTTACCGCGGACGGGCGCTGCTTTTGGCTAAGGCCAACCGAGGAGCTGGCCGGGGAGTGCGCGTAGCCCCTTCTTGCAGTTCGCGTGGTCCCCGGCTGCAGTGGAACAGGATCAATCTCGTAGGGAAGTAAAAAAAAGCAATACCGACTAAACTGGTTAGCAAACAGAGAAATAACCGTCAGTAACCAGTAGAAACTGCCACATGACATAACACGGCTGGGCAAAGCCACGCGGATGCTGTGGACGTCGTGGGTTTTATTCACGGCAGAACTAAAGTTTAGCGGGTGTTATTCAGAGATGTCGTATGGCTAATAAAAAACAAATTAAAGAATATGTTAGTAATTCGTGAGACGAATTTATTAAACCTAATTAATATGTCATTAGCATATGTTTACTGTAACACCACATTATCAAATCATAAACTAATTAGGTTTAAAAAATTTGTCTCGCAAAAAAGTCTCAATCTGTGCATTTAGTTTTGTTAATACTCCATACATATCTCAAATATTCGATGGGACAACGACTAAAATTTAGGAGGTGTAACCAGCCACCCCTAATTCGAATCAACAGCAAGAAATATAAATGCTACTCCCGAAATATCTGGGACAGTTTTTTTTTTCTTACGATGAAAAGGACAATATGGGTGGCCAACTCCACCGTTTACATATCTACTGTACTAGTAGTGTGACACACACTGCACCCGTGCTTAAGTAAGCGACACATCAATACAAGTTCCCAGCGCGACGAGAGAGAGAGAGAGAGAGCAGCATGGAAGCAAACGTGCCGCAAGAAGAAGGAGCATTGCCTCGCCAAGGCCTCGGCGTCGATCACGAGTCCCTGCAGCAGCCGCAGAGCGATCAGAGGAGGAAGGGTGGATGGATCACCTTCCCTTTCCTCGGAGGTCTCTCTCGCAGTTGCTCTCCATTGAATCTAAATCAATCGATCCATGCATGCTTGTTACATGTGCGCATGTCATGGTTGCAGCGGCGATGATGGGTCTGGGTGTGGCGACGAGCGGCGTGTTGAGCAACCTAGTGGTCTACCTGATCAAGGAGTACCACGTGCCGAGCGTGGACGCAGCTCAGATCTCCAACATCGTCGCCGGCTGCCTCAGCTTGGCCCCTGTGGCAGGAGCCGTCGTCGCCGATGCCTTCTTCGGCTGCTACCCTATCGTCGCCATCTCCATGGCCTTCTCCGTCCTGGTCAGTGACTACTCAGTAGTGCTCATAACAGTCGTGTGTTTTCTCGATAGACTACACAACACAACAGGCTCCTCTACTTGCTGCTGACTAGACTAATGCGTGAGCGCGCATGCAGTCCTCGGTTGTCTTCACCCTCACGGCAAGCTTGCGCGGCCTCCGCCCAGCGCCGTGCCATCTCAGCGCTGGCCCCTGCGAGCCGGCATCGGCCGGGCAGATGGCTGCGCTGTACGCCGGCGTGTTCCTGATGTGCGTGAGCGCCGCAGGCTCGCGGTTCAACCAGGCGACCATGGGCGCCGACCAGTTCGACTCCGCCGCCGACCGGGACGTGCTCTTCAACTGGTTCTTCGTCTTCTTGTACGCCTCCTCCGTGCTCGCGTCGACGGTCATCGTCTACGTCCAGGACACGGTGTCGTGGACGCTGGGATTCGGCATCTCCGCTGCCGCCAGCGTCGTCGGCCTCGTGGCGTTGCTCCTCGGCACGCGGTACTACCGCCGGTCGGCCGTGCGGGGCAGCCCGTTCACGGGTCTCGCTCGGGTGGCCGTCGCCGCCGCCAGGAAGTGGAAGGTCAACGTGCCGACGTCTGGGGAGCTGAAGTTTTACCACGGCCAACGACGGCGAGGTGACGGTGACGACAAAGCTGGTAATAGTGACACTGACCTTGCCCCAAGCGACAGCTTTAGGTAAGAAAAATTATGCTCTTAAACACATATCCTAATAATATAATAATGTGTGCTTCGCGATCTTTAAAATAGTTTTATAGTCGATTAGGCGATAGGACTGATCATTTTTAATGCCACTCTTAAGGTGGACTCAACTAATAATATGGTGACGTCTGGCTATACCCATTCCAGTACCAGTTTTTACAACCAGGATCCGTCTGGTCAGTGACTACTCAGTAGCGATGATCAGGAAAATAGCTATACCCATTCCGGTATCAGTTTTTACAACCAGAATTGGTCAAATTTGAGATACTTTGACTCTCTAAGATTCTCGAAATGACTTATAATTTGGGATGGAGAGAGTATGTGAAAAACAATTTAAACCTAAGCCATTAACCTAATTAATGGCATCGCATGAGACTATAGGGGCGCATGCATGGTTCAAGTTGGCTATAATTAAAGAAGATTATTTTCATCTGTTTGTGATGTGGCCTTTGCAGTTTGCCATAACCACTAGATATATTTTCTAAAATATAGAAGATAATTTTATATCAGGAATCCTATACTATTTATAAATTATCCCAACCACTTTTATATGTTCTTTATGTCATGTACATTTGCATTAGGAACCCTTTCCTACTCTTTATTCTTTTTCTACCTTTCCACCTTTAAATTGGCCAAAGAATACGCTCTTAGATCGCCCCGGGAGGGGATACACGCGACCGCGCGTCTTTACGCGCAAGTGGATTTTTTTCCGCCCAAAGATTGGGAGGTGGTATTAGGAGTTGTTGGAGATGATTTTTTTCCTATCCTGCCAAAAATCCTGAATTGGAACAATGTTTTTGGTACTCTTACACTACTGGACTCGCATGCTAAACCCTCGGCAAAGACTTTGCCGAGGGCTGTCCTCGGCAAAGACCCCTCGGGGAATTTTTAGACGGCGAAGGGGTCTTTGCCGAGGACCCTTTATCGGGCACTCGGCAAAGCCTTTGCCGAGGGCCAGGACGGCCCTCGGCAAAGAAAAGAACCCATCACGCACCGGCGCCGTTGGCTGTTTCTTTGCCGAGGGCCGACCCTCGGCAAATAAGTGGTTTTTTTTTGAATTTTTTTTTGCCGAGGGCCGGCCCTCGGCAAAGAATTTTTTTTAAAATCTTTGCCGAGGGCCTCCTCCCTGGCCCTCGGCAAAGAAATTTTCAGGATTTTTTCCAAAAAAAACTTTGCCGAGGGCTATTGCAAGGGCCCTCGGCAAAGGTTTTTTTTTAAAAAAAAAATTGTTTACTAAGGGCCGGCCCTTGGCAAAGAAATAGTTTTTTTTGAATTTTTTTTAAAAAAAAACTTTGCCGAGGGCTGCTCCCTGGCCCTCGGCAAAGAGATTTTTAGGATTTTTAAAAAAATCTTTGCCGGGGGCTATTGCTAGGGCCTTCGGCAAAGGACCCTTCTTTGGCGAGGGCCTTGGTCATTGCCCTCGGCAAAGAGACAGAAATTTAATTTTTTTTTGTTTTTTGCATTCCATCGACACAAGCATTTCATATATATACATATATATATATCACACAGAACCCATTTTCTCACAATATATCACAACCATAATTGTGAACCACAAATCACAATATATTACAATGACAAGTCACATATTCATCATCATTCACATGTTTATTACGACAAGTTAATGAAATCCAAGCACAAGTCACAACCATAAATCACAAATCACGCTAAAGTCCAACCACATCACCTAGAACGAGTCCTCATCAAGCTAGCCTATGAGACGATGGTGAAGGAAAAGCAGAATCACCCGGTGACGCACTAGCGGGTTGATTGGAACCCGCGGACGGAAGCTGCACAAAGGAGCAGAGATTACATATGTGAGTAATCCGGGAAAACAGTTTTGAAACTTTTAGAGATTGCATCTAGTAATCTAGGAATACAAAAAGATTAGACTCAATTGAAAATTTCAGCAGCACCTCCCCTGCACGGGGAGGTTTCCAAAACCTGCAAGAAACAACGGCACGAACGCCGACATCCACAACGGCACGAACGCCGACATCCACAACGGCACGAAGGCCGACATACATGCAAAGCACAAGCGAAAAGTGAACTTTCATACTTACAGGAGTAGCTGCAGGAGTAGGAGGTGGAGGAGCTGAAAATTGCATGCAGTACCCGATGCTTGCCCAAGACTTTGCATGATCATCACCATCATCTCCGCCATCCGCTTCTGCTGTGGCCTCGAACGCGACCTTTCCGGGCCCTCTGACTATGCGGTCAGCTCCGCGCTCGCTCTTGACTTTGCCTTCTTGTTTTTTTTTGCAGCTCGGCCTACAATATTTCACTCCAATGTATCGATAATGCAAATCTAATTTAGGTGTGTAAATATCTACGTCACGACCAGTAAAGCAGAATTACACAGAGTGCTTGGACTGTTGCGATCTTTGGAGAAGGCCGTGGATGTATGGAAATTTGGCTGGAGCTCGTGCTCCATGCTCGGATAAGCGTCGAGGAGGGAACAGTGGTGGAGTCGATGGCGCCGTCTCGCAATCCCTGACCGCCGTGCTTCTTGCCTCCTCCGAGCCTCATGATCGCCTCTACATCAATGGGCTCGGTCATATTGTAATCTTCCCCATATATCTCCCTTACCGTTGACGTGTACTCTTGGACTTTAGTGTACACGTTCGGGTCGGAGTACGCCTAGGGCAGGGCAGCCGGGTCGAAGGAGACAGAGGACGACGCCCTGCCCATGTGGGACATAGCCCACGCAGAGAACTCCGAGACCTCCTCGCCCGGGTGCGCAGCCTCCTGCGAGAAAGATGGGAAGATGGTGAGAAATCAAGCAGAATTGAGCGTCAAAATAAATGAAAGAAATCACTTACGTATGCTTGTTTGTATCCGGGAGGCTACGGTGCTTTGATGGTGAGTTGGACCTTGCCTCATCGTGAGCTGTTCCTTGCCGCCTCTCGTGCGTGTCAACAAAGTCCTGTGATAACCACTTGTCCACGATCATGGCCCAAAGACTAGGGATACGATCGACACCACCGTGGAATCACCTACAAGTCATCGAGTATTTGACATATAAGAAGATGAAATTGAACCTACTTAATATCAAAACGAATCATTATGAATGTTATTCGCCTACCTCAAGGTACTGGTCCCGGGTCAGCGTAATCCGTCTTGCTTGAGGCTTAGGGAGGGACTGCCTAAGTACCGACCTGTAGTAGTCTATGTGGGCCTGGACGCGCCCATGGTGGTGCATCTCGGTGACGTACTTCCTACAAGCTGCGACAGCCGCCCAATCCGCCTGGGCCTCAAGTCCTTCTTCGGCCTTGAAATATTTCTGCATACAAAACCGATGTATCCATTCATTATTTCAATAAAAGATTTAACCAATGAATGCGATGTATTAAGCAATGTTGTGCGAGAGAGACTTACCCAAAACTTCGCCAATACTCGCTCCTGCTTGTTGCGGTAAGTGTCATCCGTGACCAGCGCGTACCTGTCCCAGTTGGAGGCCGGCTCCCGCACCACCGACTCTTCAGACAGTTGCACAATGTCGGGGTACCATTTCCTACACAAAACACCAAGGATGCTCGCGGGGGTGCGTGCTGGAGTACCCGACAAAACCAACCAGGCCCTACACAAGTGATTAAGAAAATTTATCAGTTTCTCTTAAGATTTCCAACATATCTTATGAAGTAGTTGTGATAACATCCATAGTTACTTACCTCTTTGCCATAGGCCGAATCACTGGGCGGTTGTGAGGAAGCGGAACCGGAGGGAGGCTCACGGGACCTCGCTCATAGAGAGTCCGGGTAGCGGTACCCTCTCCCTCGCCCTCGAGCGCCTCACCTCCCTCGCCCTCGAGCGCCTCGTCTCCCTCGCCCGTCTACTGACCGCTCTCGTCCTCCGACGAGGACGAGGCCGTGGCCGTCACGTGCTCCTCCTCCAGCACCTCATCACATGTCGAGGGAGGAGACCGCTGCCTCCTACGGCGGCTGCCCCTGGTCCTCCTCTCGTCACCTCCTGCGGACGCTGCCCCGGACGACGACCCCTCACCTCGAAGGAGAGGGCGGTCTCTCCCATAAACTAAGGGCGTGTCACGGCGTGGATGTCTGCTCGCCATCTTTGTCCAATCACCTGCAATCACAAAGAATGAACAAGACTAATTAGTACATATATTAGAAATAGATTCAAAATATATAAACAAAACACAAATTAAAAAACCATAGTATTACATGTATTAGGAATAATCTTCATGATTGGGATCATAGGTCTCATCATCATTGTCAAAATTGTCCAAATGGGCAACACTATCCGAAGGTTCTATGTTGTCATCGTCGTCATTGCCTAGAAGTAATCGCTCAAGCATTGCTATGTCCTTGGCATTTACCACATCTCCATCGACCTCGTCATCAACCATTTCATTGCCTACTTCCATTTCGATTGCTTCGGGTAAGACTATCTCAAACGTGCCTGGTAGCCCATCTTCTTGATAGAACTGTCCATCATATGTGTTTGCGTTGAAGTTGTAATCATCATCGTTTGGGGCAGGTAGTTTACCATGTGGAGATACCTGGATGCAGAATAGTGGCGGCATATTGAAATAAGTTCGTTGAGAACTTACTTGATGAACGGCTGCACCTCGGTAAGGTTATTCAACACATATAGCATGATACTGCGCCACTCTTCATTTCCCAATAGCTTTGGGGTTGATCCACTTGCGCTGCCGAGTTGGCCTTGAAAAAGGCTCAGGGTCGATTCATTTTCGCCAGTATTGTAACGAGGGGGTGGATTATGATTGCTAGGAAGGTTCGGCTTGTAGTATAGCGTTGTGAAGTTTGCCACCTCCTCCCGAAGGCATGCCTCTGCAATGGAAGCCTCAATTCTGGCTTTATTTGTACATTTTTTTGTGAAGAGTCTTTAGACATCTCTCGATTGGATAGCACCAACAGGCCTGCATGGGCCCCCCCAAACGTGCCTCGGACGGGAGGTGCACAATCAGATGTTGCATCGGCAAGAAGAAGCCGGGTGGAA